CCCCCCCCCACCCGAACTGGCAAGAAGCAAACTCCTGTGGCTGGGATCCCCACCACCCCATTTGAGGGGCTCCCAGCCATGATCCCCCCACCCTGGGGGTGCTGAAACCCTCGGAGGAGGAGAGTTACCACTGTGGCAGTCCTCTGGCCCCGGGAGTTTCACATACTTGTGGGGTGGGGGAATCACCCTTGTGGCAACCCTCTGGCTCTGGTAGTTTCCCCCACACCTGGGGCCAGGGGGCTTACCACTGTGGTGACCCTTCTGGCCCTGGGGGTTTTCCACACCACGGGGGGCAGAGGAAATATCCCTCTGGTGATTCCTACACCCCAGAGCCCTCCGGGGTTTGTGGCAGCTTTGATCCCCAGGACCTGGGGGTTTCACACACTCTGAAGCTCTGGGGATCATGTCTACTCCACCCCCAGGGCCCAGGGGTTTTACGCTGGGCATGGTGCTCAGCCTCAGGGGAAACCTGGTACACATGCAAGTTAAAGCTCAATAGCAACCAGCTATAAAGTTAGTACACATTTTTGAGGTATAACTTTATAGCTGGTTGTAGTTTTTTATTGTGTGTTGGAGCTTTTTGCACGTGTAGCTTATCTCCAGGTAATTATGCTATTAACCAGTTAATAGTGCAATACCTGTAACATGTAGAAGGGGCATATGTAAAATATATATATTTAAAAATCTTAATTTTGCATTCTTCACACACATGAAACAGATTTGCAATATATTATATTTATGTATCAGCAAAGCTGTTTGTTTGTTTCTTAGACTTCTATTTTTTTTTTAATACTATACCAGTGAAATACAGAAGCTGAGAGTGGCAACAGAATGATGTTAAAAAATAAAGGTTTTTTAAAAGCACTGTTTTCTGCTTTTCTAACCAAGCTGGTGAGTGCTTTGTATTTTAAGGTATGTTATTGGCTAGTAATGCTAGATTTGCTAAAATACTATATAGTTTAAGTATTTAATATGTCAGTATGCTCTTTACACCAGCTGTAAAAACGAAAGGGTAGAAGAAATGTAGATGATGACAGGTCAGGATTGATGATGGAAACCCTCTATAGCTACTAATTAAGTGACAGGATTATAGTTTATCCTACAATCACTGACTTGATCTAAATTACAGATATTTAACTCATTGATATTTTGTTATGATACCTTAATATTATGTTATTACAAACATATTAATGTTAAAACAACAAAAAAAGCTTTTATCAGTTTTTTATCAGGAAAAAAAATTCTTACTAGAACGGTAGTGAAGCGTTGGAAGAGGCTACCCAGAGAGGTTGTGGAATCTCCATTTTTGAGGTTTTTAAGATTTGGGTAGTTGAAGCTTTGGCTGGGACGAGGTTGTTGGGGTTGAACAAGATCTTCTGAAGTCCCATCCAACCTGAATTTTCTGTGGTTCCATGATTCTAAATACACTTTCTTCAATGGTCAGTGGCTTTCATTTTGTCCAAAATGTAGGTTTCAGAAAACAGAGTGTTAAAGCACACATGAGATAAAGTTAGGGAATGCAATTTCATGCTGCTCAGGCAGTATAAATGAGCCCTAAAGTGCCACTTGAAGCACCTTCTGCCTTTTATGCCCTTCCCAACCAAAGAAATACTCCCATCCTTGTACAGAGGATTTTTGCAGGCATTGTAGAACTAGTAATTGCTCTGTACAAACTGGGTTGCAGAGTACCAAGGACAGATTGCAAATTGTCGGGGGTGGGAATTCAGTCCATACTGCTACCATAATTATTCAGGGTGGCTACTGAAAGCAGAGTGAAAGTTTGAGCAACATATTCCTACCTTGCACTGGGAGATTGTAGCCATCTTGTTTTTCTTCATCACCTCCTCCTTTTCTATTTCAACTTTGTCTCAAACTCAGGAATGGTGAAACTGAGAATCAGATCTGGCTAAGTGAAAACCAAGAAGCCAATAGAACTAATTCAAGTAAATTACATTTTTTTTTAAAAGCCTTTCCTTCTTGTTAGTTCAAATATTTCATACTCAGTTATATTTTCTAGCCTATCCAACTCTTTCAGCTGATTTAACAGTAGTAGTATTTTTTTAAACCAATCTTTATTCTCCCTTCTTTCTACAGGTAGTTTTTTGGGGACACCTGGCAGTATAAAATCATCTTCTGGAAGTTCAGTACAGTCACCCCAAGATTTCTTGAGCTTTACAGAATCAGATCTACGTAATGACAGCTATGCTCATTCCCAGCAGACTTCATCAACCAAAGATGTACATAAAGGAGAGACTGGAAACCAAGAAGGGGCTGTGAATTGTTTTAGTTCCTTAATTGGCCTCTCATCATCCTCAGCTGTTGTTTCCCAGTCTAAAAATTTTGACAGCTCACCTGGTGACTTGGGTAATTCAAGCATTATTTCAACAGGATACAAGCGAGCTCAGACTTCTGGGATAGAAGAAGAGACTGTAACAGAAAAAAAACGGAAAGGAAATAAGCAAAGTAAACATGGGCCTGGTCGACCCAAAGGAAATAAAAGTCACGAGAGTATTTCTCACCTATCAGTTTCTTCTGCTTCCCCGACGTCATCTGTGGCATCTGCTGCAGGCAGTGCAACAAGTTCTAGTCTTCAGAAATCACCAACATTGCTCAGGAATGGCAGTATACAAAGTCTTAGTGTTGGCTCATCTCCAGTGGGGTCAGGTAGGCTGCTGTTGAATTTATTATTTTGTTGTCTTATCTCAAAACCCATGAGACTTCATTTAGTCTAGAAAGCCACAATTCTTAATAAACTTTCAGAAATGCAACGTAAGAGTTTAGTTTAATGCTCTTTTTAAAAAATGGAGAAGTAGAAAATAACTTTCATAAAAATAATTTTGTGCCATATGTGCAGTGTTTCCCTATCCTTAAGCAGCTGCTGTCAGTTGATCTAATATATCCAGTATAGGCCTAACGGCTGAATCTACAAAAGCACATAACTGCATAAAAACTGTTTGGAAATGGCATAATGTAAAATTTAGCCTCGGGAATTAATTTGTGCATGTTATCTAGTTATATGTTCTGTTGCACATACAGAACAAAATTGTTATTAAAACATATCCAGTGTCTTCAGGAGCTGACAGATTGCCCTCAGTTATATTCACTTTCCCGAAATAAAAGTTCTTGAAATTTGTTCATGGAAAAAGGACTTGCTTAAAAATATTTAACAAGCTCTTAATCGTAATCTTGGGCCAAGACACTTGAGTAACCAGCTCCCACTCTTGTATCTCTCTAAGCTGTTGAAATGGGCTGGTTTATCTTTTGTATCTTAAATGTGTATTTGAATTGGGCCAGAATAGGGATTTTCTTATTCAGGAGCCTGTCTATGGAAGAACCTTACCGGGTATTATACTCACCAGAGTTCCCTCTTGTCTTCAAGTCTTCTTTCAAACCCTTTCTATTTGGATTAAATAATCTTTAACCATTTGAATTCCTTTCGCACCAGCTTTTACTTTTGAATTCTGAGGGTATTTTGTTTTTGTTTGTTTTTTCTTCCTTTTGGCTCAATTTTTTGGCTTAACTCTTGGGGTTTTAGGTCCTATTATACAAATCTTTATCATGCATGCACAGTACTTCAGATGCCTAGCAATAAGTATTTCCAAAAAATAATTAAAGAAAAAGGCAAATATTGTACTGCACTAGGTAGAATTCTATTTTTTTTTTTTTTTAAGCGGACAGGAAGTAATAACATTAGGGTCAGAAGAAATTCCTTTAACATTGAAATTACTTGGGGGGGAAATGAAACTGTGAAGATAAATACTGAGTTATGTTTTTCCAAAACCTACAGAATTATGCTTTGATCTTGCATCAAGTTCTCCTAATACAGTCTTCATCTCTGTGCAGTTCAACTGAAGCAACTCTCATTTTTAGTGCTCTGGTAAATGCGGTGCTAGATTAAAATGTAAGGTTTTGGTTTTAGATTATTTTAATTTCTTCTCTAAAGTACTTTGATATTAATGGACAAAAACAGTTCACTTGCTAAGTGATGTTTGTTGTTGCTTTTACTACAAGCATTTATTTTAGCTACCCAACTTTTTATTCACATATCCAGATCCTAGCTACCCCTGGGAAGTGGTTTTCTCTGAAAGTGCTATGTTGAATAGTAAGAATATGGACAGGAAGTCTATGACTTTGACACAGATGAGACCTGGGTTCAGATCCCTGGTCAGCCCTGTACTTTCTTTTACTATATTTTAATGTTTTATGCCCCAGTGTTTCTTGTTTAAAAAGGCAATACTTCTCTTCTCCACTTCACTCACAGAACTATAGAGTATAAAAATCTTTTAATAAATTTGAGGCATTTTGACACAAAGTGGGTTTGTTTTATTATATAATTTATTTGTAGTTTCATTAATTTGGGGAAGAATTTTAGCCCTGTTCTAGTCCTTTAATACTGAGTTCCACATATGGGTGTAGTGAAGTCCTCTGGATCAGGAACTCCAGGGGTGGGTAGAGGAAAACAATCCCTTTAGAAAGCTCTGGCAAAGATAGAAGAGCAGGAGGGTATATGTTATGGTTGAGAAGAGCCAGTTACTGCTTCAAGGATTCTCAGTTTCTTTAGAGTAACCCATGGAATTATAGAATCAGAGAGAGAGGCTGGAAGAGACCTGCAGAGGTCATCTCGTCCAGTCCCCTGCTTGAGCCAGGATTATCTCTATTGAAACCATCCTATACAATCTATAATCTAAAGTGTATATAAAACTATCATGAACTCTGACACAACACAGACCTAACACCCTAACCTGCCATAAATAAAGCAGGGAAATCACAGCAATCAATGTCCTGCTTCTATGAAATGTTGTCAATATATGCTCAAGAGATCCCAGGAAATGGGAATGTCTAACCCCACTCTCCATTACAGAAAAAAGGAAAAAACCCATATTCCATACCAATCTGATCATGGTATAAAATTATTTCCTGATGCCAGATATGGCAGTCAGTCTGACCATGAGTGAAATGGCAAGACCTTCTAGCCAGGAACCTCTGGGCTAAGTTCCAGCAGAAGCTTTAGTACATTCCAATCAAAATCCCCTGCTTTGGCTGCAGCCAGCACCCAGTGCCTTTGAGGAAGGCTTAAGAAATTTGATGCATGTAGCACAAAGGGAGGGCAACCAGCAAAGCCAGAAGCATGAGAAATACCTATAGTAGAACATAGGCATAGCTATGCCTAGATCATCCCTAACCAGTGACTATTCAGCCTCTTCTTAAACGTCTCCAGTGATGGAGAGTCCATAACTTCCATAGACAGTCTAGTCTATTTCCTCCACTATTTCAACAGTGACGAAATTTTACGAGATATCCAATTAAAACTCACTTTGCTGCAGCTTCAAGCCATTAATCTGTGCCCTTCTCTGTAGCAAGAGAGAAAGTGCTTTCCCTCTTCTTTGTCAGACCTTCAAGTATTTGAAGACTGCTGTCATGTCCCCTCTTAAGTGCCTTTTGTAAGCTGGCAGACAAGGTTCCTTGGGTGAATTTGATATCTTTTATTAGCCCAACCCAAATAGTTGGAGAAAAGTTATTAAGCAAGCTTTCGGGTTCAAAAACCCTTCGTCAGGATAAGGAAGTGTCAGCAGTTGGTGTGTGCTCTTCCTGGATGGAATGAAAAGTAAAGAAGCCAGGGGCTGGGCTGGGGAGTCAGTTGCCAGGCAGATTATAATGTGTCA